TGCTAGCTGTAGAGGGAGCGCAAAAAAATATGTAAATTATGTCATCATTTCCTCAATCAAAGTTTGTACCAACAGATGTCGCCTATTGAATAGCTTACCGAATAGCCTACCATGGCTCGCTAACCTTGATCCTGGAGTGCTACCATCCATTTTATAAACCAACTAATTATTAGAATCAGGTGTGCTAGATTAGGTTTGGATGAAAACCCAGGAACAGTGTTGGAGAGCCCTGTAATAAAATATGCATAAAATGCATCCTCCAATTGCAACGTTTGCCTATGCCAACACATATTGCCTCAAGAAAATGTTATATTTTTAATAACCTCAAACACCAATTTAGGCATACCTAATTTCAAAATAGTCCATCATCACTGTCAATCCTGAATGATAATTATTTACGTTTTACTGGTGAAACTGCATCTTGCCAATCATTTGATTGATCTCAATCAGTTTCATGGGAATAGCCTATACATTTTGATCTTCTTGAATTACTGTTTCGTCAGCAAATTATATGACGTTAACAAACTATTAGCCTAGTATTTTGTTTCAATCCAAGCATATAAGTGATGAGTTGGACTATTAGGCGTAGGCAACAGAGCTTGATGAGTGTTATTTTAACGATTGGAGCGCCCTTCATGGTTCTAAAAGGACAGCCCTGTATTAGCTTGAACAATTGATCAGCTTGAACAATATACCTACTACAAAATAAAAGAAAACAGAGGCTAAAGATCCCAAGCAGGGCTACAGAAACTTAGAGAGAGGGCTCTTGGGCTTTACGGTGGCCACTCTGGTTTGGGTGTCCTCGGCAGAACGGTGTCGCTGTAACCAAGTGGCCACATATCGTTCTTGGTTCCACTGCGCAAGAACACAAAGTCAGACAGGTGCATTTTTTTTTTTACGTTCTGAAGTTGTGAAGTCTCCAATGGGCCTCTGCAGAGCACATATAGCCTACAGTTCTTCATCATTTGCCAGAGAGAAGACAGGGAAGAAACCACCCGTTACTTACCTCTAGGCTGCTATAGCGTACATATTTATTTGGTTTGTCATTCTATAGTTTTTCATGAAATTTTTGTGGTAATTAAATATTATTTAGAATTGATCAGAATTAATTTTCCATGTATTCTCAAATTGAAAAAAAGTGAGAGCCGCGCTCCCCCAGCACTACACACCTGATTACTTATGAAGCTAAGGCATCTGCGCTGCGCTATTTAATCAATAAATAAAACATATTTTGGGGGCGGGAAATTATTTGTCGCGCCATGTTCCCGCTCTATGCATGCATGTGCAGTACATCTAAGTACATCATAATTTGATGTGTTAGGCCATGTCATCCTGAGGCAGATGTACAATGTGTTATACAAATTATACAATGTATAAGAATGAATCAGACGCGTGCATCATTTATTTATTTTATTTCAGTCATTGCAAAGCAGCAACTTCACTGCATTGTGTCAAAGCCACATTGAACAGAAGGGAAGTCAATGCAAGTGTGAAATGCCCATTTTCATTGAGGTATGAATATTAAAACTTCAGCTTATATACATTTCCTCATATAATAAAGTCGGTACAATATTCAGTGGATGTGGATGTTAGGCTGAGTTTAGACAGACAGCTCAATTCTGATATTTTGCCTAATTATTGGCAAAAGAGATTATCTGATTGGTCAAAAGACCAATTAGTGGAAAATGATCAGAATTAGGCTCCCTGTGTAATAGCAGCCTTAGTGTATCATACTGGATGTTAAATAGTTTGGGAGGACCAATGAATATGTTTGGGATGGCAACCTGTCCTCTATTCCAGATAGCTCAGAAAAAGCACAAAACCACCTTGGAGAGTTCTTCCTCTGTTCCCAATAAAAGCCCAGACATTTACAGCAGCATCACCAATCATGTGTTAACACTAGAATACAACATTCCGGTCACTCCCTTGTACAAAATGGCTGCTAAATTGTGACCAGCAATTTCAGACCAAACAGGTGTTGGTGAACAAGATAATTGTGTAGTCAGGTTGGCATTAACCTCATGCATGTTCGCTCACTGTTTACAGTAGAAGCCAAAAGGTGTTTTTCTATACAAAATTGTGCCTTAACATACTGTACCAATGTGACAAAAAATTGAAGATTGTCCTTTCACAGGTTTTCGGGGCAGTATTATGTTCTCCAGTTCCTGTTTCTATATACTGTATATTGCTATCTCAGGGAAATAATAAACCCAAATGAAGCAGGCCTTGCCATTCAGAGTATGGCCACAGCCCAATCTAAACTACAGTACATCTCTAGAGAAGGGCTTGAGTTAACCAGCTCTCACAGCCACCTTAGATCAAGGGTTTATGAATCCTGATAATTTACGGGTAAAAATATATTGGGGTAGCCAGGATGTCATGTAAAAGTGTAAAATCTACCTCATGGCTATTGGCTATAGTCATCAGAATCATAATTTATTAATATCAAAAGATTATACAATAAAATATTCCATCTATTATTAAGTAAAGTAAATAAATCACCAAATCCCCTGCATCTGATCCAGATGATCAAAGATAAATGTATTACAATACAAAAATACTGTACAGATGGGCTTAAAAAATAATTTAAGAGCTCTATCCAGAAAGCACTTTGCTGTATTTTTCTCATTGCTCATCATTAATAAATTGCGCAGAATAAACTAAAACTGTGATATCTAAATTGTAATGTGTAGCTATATGCTTTTACTAAGATAAGAGTACAAAATTCATTTTAAATCCCAAAAATATCCATCTGTTACTGTCCTGCACCAGAGATTCTCAAATTCATTCTTGATAGTGGAAAGCTAAAGAAGTGCTGAGATGCCCAATGTGTGTTTGTAAGTGAAGTAATAACGAATACCAGCTCTGATAATTCAATAAAAAAAAATTAAAAAAATGGATCACAAGAGAAAAGATAAAGCTATTCCACAGCACCTGCAACTGTATTCAAAGTGTTTGTTTCTAATACTATGGTCCTTCGTTTACATTTACATTTACATTTTAGTCATTTAGCAGACGCTCTTATCCAGAGCGACTTACAGTTAGTGAATACATCTTTTTTTTTTTTATACTGGCCCCCCGTGGGAATCGAACCCACAACCCTGGCATTGCAAACCCCATGCTCTATCAACTGGGCTACATCCCTGCCGGCCATTCCCTCCCCTACCCTGGACGACGCTGGGCCAATTGTGCGCCGCCCATGAGTCTCCCGGTCGCGGCCGGCTGCGACAGAGCCTGGATTCGAACCAGGATCTCTAGTGGCACAGTTAGCACTGCGATGCAGTGCCTTAGACCACTGCGCCACTCAGGAGTTTACCTTTATGTTCTACACTACTTGGCCAAAAGTGTGTGGACACCCCTTCAAATTAGTGGATTTGGCTATTTCAGCCACACCCCCGTTGCTGACAGATGTATAAAATCGAGCACACAGCCATGCAATCTCCATAGACAAACATTGGCAGTAGAATGGCCCGTACTGAAAAGCTCTGTGACTTTCAACGTGGCACTGTCATAGGATGCCACCTTTCGAACAAGTCAGTTCGTCAAATTTCTGCCTTGCTAGAGCTGCCCCGGTCAACTGTAAGTGCTGTTATTGTGAAGTGGAAATGTCTAGGAGCAACAACGGCTCAGCCGCGAAGTGGTAGGCCACACAAGCTCACAGAACAGGACCATCAAGTGCTGAAGCGCGTAAAAATCGTCTGTCCTCGGTTGCAAAACCCACTACCGAGTTCCAAACTGCCTGTGGAAGCAACGTTAGCACAAGAACTGTTCGTCGGAAGCTTCATGAAATTGGTTTCCATGGCCGAGCAGCCGCACACAAGCCTTAGATCACCATGCGCAATGCCAAGCGTCGGCTGGAGTGGACAACTCTGGAGCAGTGGAAACGCGTTCTCTGGAGTGATGAATCACGCTTCACTATCTGGCAGTCCGACAGACGAATCTGGGTTTGGCAGATGCCAGGAAAAACGCTACCTGCCCCAATGCATAGTGCCAACTGTCAAGTTAGGTGGAGGAGGAATAATGGTCTGGGGCAGTTTTTTAGTGGTTTGGGCGAGGCCCCTTAGTTCCAGTGAAGGGAAATCTTAACGCCACAGCATACAATGAGATTCTAGACGATTCTGTGCTTCCAACTTTGTGGCAACAGTTTGGGGAAGGCCCTTTCCTGTTTCAGCATGACAATGCCCCCGTGCACAAAGCGAGGTCTATACAGAAATGGTTGGTCGAGATCAATGTGGAAAAACTTGACTGGCCTGCACAGAGCCCTGACCTCAACCCTATCGGACACCTTTGTGATGAATTGGAATGCCGACTGCCAGCCAGGCCTAATCGCATAACATCAGTGCCCGTCGTCACTAATGCTCTAGTGGCTTAATGGAAGCAAGTACCCACAGCAACGTTCCAACATCTAGTGGAACGCCTTCCCAGAAGAGTGGAGGCTGTTAAAACAGCAAAGGGGGGACCAACTTCATATTAATGCCCATGATTTTGGAATGACATACTTTTGGCCATGTAGTGTATATAAATCATATTGCAATGTTTCGCTTTCTGTTAATGCAGTCCCTGATACAAGAACATTGAGTAACAGGGGAATGTAATCTAATTTTTTAATCAGGAGTTAACTGAAATCAAGTTATCTGTGCCGTTAACCTCAGACGTTGTGATTTACCTTCTAGAGCAAAATGCGTTCACTTCTATTCAAAGAGCCTCAAGGAAATCTTCCTCGATTTGAGCTCAGTTGAAAAGCACAGCAGTGGATCAAAGTTAGAGGTAATGTTTGCAGCAATGCATCATAGCAGAGATGAATAGTGGTGCACAGGTATTCACAATTCATAGGTCTTGATTGAACCAGCTGAATTATTAAATTGCCTATGTCCAATCACTAAGAGGTAAATTTGGCATCAGCATAGACACACACTACATACCTTCGTCTGTGATTAAGCAATACCAGAAATCATCATTCAACGTTGTTCTACTACAGTTTTACTAGATCATAAATGTTTTAAAAGAAGCATAAATTGCATTCCTCACACTTCTGCACCAGCCTGAGAATCTAGCCTCTGCTTCTCACACCTTGTTCAAAGCAGGGGAGAGGCAGAAGGTTCAAGTTTTTTTGGAATAGAAAAAAAAAAAAAAAAAAAAAAAGCCTCATCAACTCAGAAAAAAAAAGATACTAAAATAAAATCTCCTTCAGTCTGTTTCCATGTTGACATAGGAAGTGGCTCTCTCCATCCCATCGTGTTTGAGGGAAGTGACATCATTAGCAGGCTGGGCGGGAGAGGAGGAGCTGTCCGAGGGGGCAGGTAAGGTGGGCTGACGAATCTTGTCTTGTCGGTGGTAGAACAGGAGGTAGGCAGCATTAGTCTGGAAGGGTAGAGACAAGGGTGGGGAGATCATGACATTGCAAGGCAACAAACATTTTTCAAAGAAGGAATTCTAAACTGTCCAGTAGCTAAACTTACCACAATTTGTTCCTCCCTTGCATATGCCACCTTGCTGTCATCGAAGTAATACCATTGTCCATTGTCTTTGTTCCGGGCATAGCTGGTGTCTGTCGAGAGAGCAGAAACATATGTTGAACAAAATGAAGGCATATGACAAAGTATGACATACAAAAGCAGCATCTCACAATGTCCGTCTCGGAGTCCGCCGTAGTGGTTGGAAACTGCTATCAGATCATATCGGCTGGGTGGCTCTCCGTTTGTACCGGTCTTCCTCAGCAGACAACCTGAGAAGTCGAGGTGTCTGCAATAAAGAGAAACAGGTTGGATTAAGATAGCACTTGTGGAAAACTGCACTAATAACTCTGTAGTGGATTGAGTGGAGGTGTGGGGGGGTACTAGTCACACTGACATCCTCCCCACTTAAAAATGTAAATGTGTACAGAATGTTTTATATTACAGTAAAAGAGACAGACATGATGTAACCAACCTGAGAGGAAAGTCAACAATGATATCCAGCTTCTCCCTGGAGTACTTGGTGTAGGAGAAGCGTTTCAGGTGGATGATGAGAACCTCAGGCAGTGACCACAGGTCCAGTTTCTTAGTGGCCAGTTGGTGTTTCTTACATATTGGGCAGTACCTGCAGCAAACAGAAATAAGTCTCTCACTGTTGCCGCTTGCTACAGACCCCCCTCAGCCCCCAGCTGTGCCCTGGACACCATATGTGAATTGATTGCCCCCCATTTATCCTCAGAGTTCGTACTGCTTGGTGACCTAAATTGGGATATGCTTAACACCCTGGCCATCCTACAATCCAAACTAGATGCCCTCAATCTCACAAAAATTATCAACGGACCTACCAGGTACAACCCTAAATCCGTAAACATGGGTACCCTCATAGATATCATCCTGACTAACTTACCCTCTAAATACACCTCCGCTGTCTTCAACCAGGATCTCAGCGATCACTGCCTTATTGCCTGCGTCCGTAACGGGTCCGCGGTCAAACGACTACCCCTCATCACTGTCAAACGCTCCCTTAAACACTTTAGCGAGCAGGCCTTCCTAATTGACCTGGTCCAGGTATCCTGGATGGATATAGATCTCATTCCGTCAGTAGAGGATGCCTGGTTGTTCTTTAAAAGTAATATCCTCTCAATCTTAAATAAACACGCCCCATTCAAAAAATACTAAGAACAGATATAGCCCCTGGTTCTCCTCACACTTGACTGCCCTTGACCAGCACAAAAACATCCTGTGGCGTACTGCATTAGCATCAAATAGCCCCCGCGATATGCAACTTTTCAGGGAAGTTAGGAACCAATATACACAAGCAGTCAGGAAAGCAAAGGCTAACTTTTTCAAACAGAAATTTGCATCCTAACTTCAAAAAGTTTTGGGACACTGTAAAGTCCATGGAGAATAAGAGCACTTCCTCCCAGCTGCCCACTGCACTGAGGCTAGGAAACACTATCACCACCGATAAATCTACAATAATCGAGAATTTCAACAAGCATTTTGCTACGGCTGGCCATGCTTGACACCTGGCTACCACTACCCCGGCCACCAACTCTGCACCCTCCGCTGCAACTTGCCCATGCCCCCCCCCCCCGCTTCTCCTTCACACAAATTCAGACAGCTGATGTTCTGAAAGAGCTGCAAAATCTGGACCCCTACACATCAGCTGGGCTAGACAATCTGGACCCTTTCTTTCTAAAAATAGCCGCCAAAATTGTCGCAACCCCTATTACTAGCCTGTTCAACCTCTCTTTCGTAACGTCTGAGATCCCCATCCCCAGCGACCACCCATACACAAAAAAAATGTATGCACGCATGACTGTAAGTCGCTTTGGATAAAAGCGTCTGCTAAATGGCATATTATTATTTATTTATATCCCCAGAGATTGAAAAGCTGCCGCGGTCGTCCCACTCTTCAAAGGGGGTGACACTCTAGATCCAAACTGTTACAGACCTATATCCATCCTGCTCTGTCTTTCGAAAGTATTTGAAAGCCAAGTTAACAAACAGATCACCGACCATTTTGAATCCCACCGTACCTTCTCCGCTATGCAATCCGGTTTCCGAGCTGGTCATGGGTGCACTTCAGCCACGCTCAAGGTCCTAAACGATATTATAACCGCGATCGATAATAGACAGTACTGTGCAGCCGTCTTCATCGACCTGGCCAAGGCTTTCGACTGTCAACCACCGCATTCTTATTGGCAGACTAAATAGCCTTGGTTTCTCAAATGACTGCCTCGCCTGGTTCACCAACTACTTCTCAGATAGAGTTCAATGTGTCAAATCGGAGGGCCTGTTGTCTGGACCTATGGCAGTCTCTATGGGGGTGCCACAGGGTTCAATTCTTGGGCCGACTCTTTTCTCTGTGTATATCAATGATGTCGCTCTTGCTGCTGGTGACTCTCAGATCCACCTCTACGCAGACGACACCATTTTGTATACATCTGGCCCTTCATTGGACACTGTGTTAACAAACCTCCAAACGAGCTTCAATGCCATACAACACTCCTTCAGTAGCCTCCAATTGCTCTTAAACACTAGTAAAACTAAATGCATGCTCTTCAATCGAACGCTGCTGGCACCCGCCCACCCGACTAGAATCACTACTCTCGACGGGTCTGATCTAGAGTATGTGGACAACTACAAATACCTAGGTGTCTGGTTAGACTGTAAACTCTCCTTCCAGACTCACATTAAGAATCTCCAATCCAAAGTTAAATCTAGAATCAACTTCCTATTTCGCAACAAAGCCTCCTTCACTCATGCTGCCAAACATGCCCTCGTAAAACTGACTATCCTACCGATCCTTGACTTCGGCGATGTCATTTACAAAATAGCCTCCAACACTCTACTCAGCAAATTGGATGTAGTCTATCACAGTGCCATCCGTTTTGTCTCCAAAGCCCTATACACGACCCACCACTGTGACCTGTACGCTCTTGTTGGCTGGTCCTCACTACATGTTCATCGTCAAACCCACTGGCTCCAGACCATCTATAAATCACTGCTAGGCAAATCCCCGCCTTATCTTAGCTCATTGGTCACCATAGCAGCACCCACCCGTAGTCTGCGCTCCAGCAGGTATATCTCACTGGTCATCCCCAAAGCCAACACCTCCTTTGGCCGCCATTCCTTCCAGTTCTCTGCTGCCAATGACTGGAACGAATTGCAAAAATCTCTGAAGCTGGAGACACTTATCTCCCTCACTAACTTTAAGCATCAGTTGTCAGAGCACCTTACCGATCACTGCACCTGTACACAGCCCATCTGAAATTAGCCCACCCAACTACCTCATCCCTATATTGTTATTTATTTTGCTCTTTTGCACCCCAGTATCTCTATTTGCACATAATCTCTAGCATTCCAGTGTTAATACTAATTGTAATTATTTTGCACTATAGCCTATTTATTGCCTTACCTCCATAACTTGCTACATTTGCACACACTGTATATATATTTTCTGTTGTATTTTTTGACTTTGTTTTTAATCGCACTGCTTTGCTTTATCTTGGCCAGGTCGCAGTTGTAAATGAGAACAAGTCTGCTGTCTCGTTCACGGAGAAGTGTATGAACTCCTCAAGGAAATCCTCCAAGGCTTCCACAGAGACCGAGACATTAAAAGGTCCGTAGCTGAAGCAAGAGCGTTCCGTGGGGTTTTACTTACCCTCTAAATACGCCTCCGCTGTCTTCAACCAGGATCTCAGCGATCACTGCCTTATTGCCTGCGTCAACATTTGGCTATGGGCTGGCAGTACAGAATTATGGAGAGTGAAATAAATTGTTTCTTCGTCATCTTGCTAGGTAGTTATCTAGCTGTGGCCATTTGTTTAGTGTCATCAAGGACATTCTACAAAATAGCAACATTAGCACAGATAGCTTGGAATCTAGACCATAAGCAATACGCACAGATATGCATTGCCAAACAACACTATTGCCACCTTCTGGTTTGGAGTATTTTCAACAAGGCTGAATGTCTGATGACTTCCAAGATCCTTGCTGTGTGAACACAAAAGAGTTTGACTGCCGACACTCTGTTCAGAGGTGCCAAGTACTGTCGGCAGGCAAACGTTTGACAATCCTACCGGTGTGTCGTAGCTTTAACAGTATTTAAAGCACAGGAAAATAACATTTTTCACTGCGCTGGGCCTTTAACATTACATTTTTCCCAGGAAAAGCTGATGACTAACATATTAAATCTTACTGCTAAATACAGTAAGATTTAATATGTTAGTCATCAGCTTTTCCTGGGAAAAATTTAATGTTAAAGGCCCAGCGCAGTGAAAAATGTTATTTTCCTGTGCTTTATAAACATTTCCACACTATGAGGTTGGAATAATACTGTAAAATTATGAAAATGATGATAACGCCCTTTTAGTGTATGAGCTGTTTGAAGAGACCGCCTGACATTTCAGCCTGTTTTGGTGGGATGGAGTTTTGGCCTGCCAGGTGATGTCACCAGGCGGTAAATTACACTGAACAAAGATAGAAACGCAACATGTAAAGTGTTGATCCCATGTTTCATGAGCTGAAATAAAAGATCCCAGGAATGTTCCATACACACAAAAAGCTTATTTCTCAAAAATGTTGTGAACAAATTTGTTTACATCCCTGTTAGTGAGAATTTCTCCTTTGCCACTTGATAGGTGTGGCATATCAAGAAGCTGGTTAAACAGCAAGTTCATTACACAGGTGCACCTTGTGCTGCGGACAATAAAAGGCCACTAAAATGTGCAGTTTTGTCACAACACAATGCCACAGATGTCTCAAGTTGAGGGACCGTGTAATTGGCATGCTGACTGCAGGAATGTCCACCAGAGCTGTTGCCAGAGAATTGAATGTTCATTTCTCAACCATAAGCCACCTCCAACGTCGTTTTAGAGAACTTGGCAGTACGTCCAACCGGCCTCACAACCACAGACCACGTGTATGGTGTCGTATGGGTGAGCGGTTTACTGATGCCAACTTTGTGAACAGAGTGGTGGCGGTGGGATTATGGTATTGGCAGGCATAAACTACGGACAATGAACACAACTATCGATGACAATTTGAATGCACAGAGATACCGTGATGAGATCCTGAGGCCCATTGTCATGCCATTCATCTGCCGCCAATACCTCATGTTTCAGCATGATAATGCAAAGCCCCATGTCGCAAGGATCTGTACAGTCGTGGTCAAAAGTTTTGAGAATTACACAAATATTAATTTTCACAAAGTCTGCTGCCTCAGTTTTAATGATGGCAATTTGCATATACTCCAGAATGTTATGAAGAGTGATCAGATGAATTGCAATTAATTGCAAAGTCCCTCTTTGCCATGAAAAAGATTCCCACGGGGAGCCAGTATGAAAAAAATAACAAATAAAAAAATAATGTATGCACTCACTAACTGTAAGTCGCTCTGGATAAGAGCGTCTGCTAAATGACTAAAATGTAAATGTAATAATCCCCAAAAAACATTTCCACTGCATTTCAGCCCTGCCACAAAAGGACCAGCTGACATCATGTCAGTGATTCTCTCGTTAACGCAGGTGAGAGTGTTGACGAGGACAAGGCTGGAGATCACTCTGTCATGCTGATTGAGTTAGAATAACCGACTGCAAGCTTTAAAAGGAGGGTGGTGCTTGAAATCATTGTTCTTCCTCTGTTAACCATGGATACCTGCAAGGAAACACGTGCCGTCATCATTGCTTTGCACAAAAAGGGCTTCACAGGCAAGGATATTGCTGCTAGTAAGATTGCACCTAAATCAACCATTTATCGGATCATCAAGAACTTCAAGGAGAGAGGTTCAATTGTTGTGAAGAAGGCTTCAGGGCGCCCAAGAAAGTCCAGCAAGCGCCAGGACCGTCTTCTAAAGTTGATTCAGCTGCAGGATCGGGGCACCACCAGTGCAGAGCTTGCTCAGGAATGGCAGCAGGCAGGTGTGAGTGCATCTGCACGCACAGTGAGGCAAACACTTTTGGAGGATGGCCTGGTGTCAAGAAGGGCAGCGAGGAAGACACTTCTCTCCAGGAAAAACATCAGGGATAGACTGATATTCTGCAAAAGGTACAGGGATTGGACTGCTGAGGACTGGGGTAAAGTCATTTTCTCTGATGAATCCCCTTTGTGGTCAATCCTCGAGGCGGGTGGACAAACACAAACCCACAAATTCTGACAAAAAAAGCATTGATTAAGCAAGAATGGGCTGCCATCAGTCAGGATGTGGCCCAGAAGTTAATTGACAGCATGTCAGGACGGATTGCAGAGGTCTTGAAAAAGAAGGGTCAACACTGCAAATATTGATGTGTATGACAGCATGTTCCAATTCCCGCCAATATCCAGCAACTTTGCACAGCCAATGAAGAGGAGTGAGACAACATTCCACAGGCCACAATCAACAGCCTGATCAACTCTATGTGAAGGAGATGTGTCGCGCTGCATGAGGCAAATGGTGGTCATACCAGATACTGACTGGTTTTCTGATCCACGCCCCTACCTTTTTTTTAAAGGTATCTGTGACCAACAGACGCTTATCTGTATTCCCAGTCATGTGAAATCCATAGATTAGGGCCTAATGAATTTATTTCAACTGACTGATTTCCTTATATGAACTGTAACTCAGTAGAATCTTTGAAAATGTTGCATGTTGTATTTTTGTTCAGTATAGTTAAGACTTCAGTTTTCCCCTCCCTACTCAGAACACTCCCAGACAGTCCTAGCTAAATTCTTGCTTGAGAAATTGCTCTTTGCTAAGAAGCTATTTTTGTTTCTTTTTTAATTGAAAACAATCACAGTTAGGTACTTAATTGTTACCCAGAAATGATTTGATATTGAGATAGAAACGGCTGCATTGGACCATTAACTATATTCAGCATAATACTTGCTAGATACATAGAATGAAATGCCAGGTGTGGGGCAGCCGTACCAGGGGTTTTCTTCCTCCAGGATCTCCACAGTGGTGAAGAGCTCAATACACTCCTGCAGCTGCACTGTGGTCTGCTGGTGAGGGACCTCCATGCTTTGGTGTTTTACATACTTCTGTGGATGGAAAGATGTCAGGAGTTGGCTAAATGACCAGCAACCAGGCCATGTTCACGCCACTGGCCCAAACACACTTTAAAACTTAAATACTTTACTTAAGCTTTATTAATGTAAAGCGTGATTCACACATACCTCTGCCTCATTCTCGTTGTAGCATTTCTTCTTTATGTCAGGATCCCAGTCAATGGCCACATATGGTTGAGCTGTGAAAGGGACACAGTAATATTAAATAAAATACTCACATGTGGATGCTAAACCATCTGTGTCACATACAGCTACTGGGCTCTAAAACATATGAAGAGAATATGAGCCTAGCTACTTCAGTGACAAAACAGTCGTCAGTGTGAATGTGATGTGGTGTCTGAGACTCACAGCTAAAAGAGAAGGCACTGCCGTCCTCTCCCATGCATCTCTCCGTAGTGCCATTGGAGTTGACCGCCTGGATGGAGAAGAGCAGCTTCCTGCGTCTGGCCTGGCAGCCCTTCCTCTTGGCCTGCCTCTCGTTGGTCTGCGGGGGGCTGGGGGGGCACTCACCCTTCTCCTCCTCCTCCTCCTCCTCCTCAGTCTCACACGGCTGCTGCTGCTGAAGGCCTGCATCCTGCTGGCGATCTGTTGGAACTGTAGCACTGGCTCCAGCACTGGCTCCAGCACTGGCTCCAGCACTGGCTCCAGCACTGGCTCCAGCACTGGCTCCAGCACTGGCTCCAGCACTGGCTCCAGCACTGGCTCCAGCACTGGCTCCAGCACTGGCTCCAGCACTGGCTCCAGCACTGCAGGATGCCGAGGCGCTGTCCTCTGTGCTGCACCCTGCCCTTACTTCACTACTGGCCCCCTCCTCAGCCTGAGCCTGTTCTCCAGACTCCTGGGTTTGTGTCTGCTCTGGCTGAGTCTGGGTCACAGCAGGGCCGTCCGCTTGGTCATCCCATTGGCCACCATCACAACGGTCATCTCTCTTAAAGGGTGCCGGCCTCTCACAGTCATCCTCACCGTCATCTGTGGAGACAGACAACATTCTAGAGTGGAGACACTAGTTTGTAGAAATCAATTCTGCCCAGTGTATCAACAATTTGCTAACGGAGATCAGATTACCATCGCTGACACCATTGGTCTGGGTCTTGTAAAGTTCCTCGTCATCTTCACCCTCCTCCTCCTCTGAGGGATCTGGTGGCCGGACATACCGTCTGTGAAAACATCACCACACAATAGGCCTTTCTCTCGTTTTCGGAGCGGGACATCTGTTTTTGGGAAAATCCTATATCCGGTATATTTTTTTCTATAGAAATGGCGCAAACCAAGAGCAAGTCCTGTTGTAGCATACGTCTTTGTTTGAAATCGAGAGAAAAAACAGCTGTATCTAAAGCCTCGCACTTTGAAGTCAACCCAAATTGCGTTTCCACTGCCTCTAGAATATAGAAATGTCATGTTGCTAGCTAGCAATGTGACTATGCAGATAGCTTCACTTTGTTGCTAGCTAGCTTTCAAATTATAGAAAGTCCTTTGGCTACAACTAGCTAGCAAGATGTTGAAGAAATAATTTGATTCACCCTCACCACACTCTAAAAAGGGCAAGGGACTTTCTCTCCAAGGACATCCTCCTGACAATCTACCACACCCTGATAACTCACCTGGACTACGAGCCAAAGTATGGCTTCCCTCCCTACATCAGTGCAATAAGACAGGTCTTAACCAGCTACAGCGTATCATCAACAGGGCTGCTCGTATCAAACCACTGATGTGCAGGATCCATTATAACACCCTAGTGACTGTTTTCAAGGCGACACAGCACAAACTGCCTGAATACAGTGGCTTGCGAAAGTACTCACCCCCCTGGGCATTTTCCTATTTTGTTGCCTTACAACCTGGAATTAAAATGTATTTTTGGGGGGTTTGTATCATTTGATTTACACAACATGCCAGCTCCTTCAAGTTGGATGGGTTTCGCTGGTGTACAGCAATCTTTAAGTCATACCACAGATTCTCAATTGGATTGAGGTCTGGGCTTTGACTAGGCCATTCCAAGACATATAAATGTTTCTCCTTAAACATTTACATTTTAGTCACTTAGCAGACGTTCTTATCCAGAGTGACTTACAGTTAGTGAGTGCATACATTTTCATACTGGCCCCCCGTGGGAAACGAACCCACAACCCTGGCGTTGCAAGCACCATGCTCTACCAACTGAGCTACACGGGGCCACTCAAGTATTGCTTTAGCAGTATGCTTAGGGTCATTGTCCTGCTGGAAGGTGAACCTCCGTCCCAGTCTCAAATCTCTGGAAGACTGAAACAGGTTTCCCTCAAGAATTTCCCTGTATTTAGCACATCCATCATTCCTTCAATTCTGATCAGTTTCCCAGTCCCTGCCGATGAAAAACATCCCCACAGCATGATGCTGCCACCACCATGCTTCACTGTGGGGATGGTTTCTCGAGGTGATGAGAGGTGTTGAGTTTGCGCCAGACATATTCCTTGATGGCCAAAAAGCTCAATTTTAGTCTCATCTGACCAGAGTACCTTCTTCCATATGTTTGGGGAGTGTCCCACATGCCTTTTGGCGAACACCAAATGGGTTTGCTTATAGTTTTCTTTAAGCAATTGCTTTTTTCTGGCCACTCTTCCGTAAAGCCCAGCTCTGTGGAGTGTACGGCTTAAAGTGTTCCTATGGACAGATACTCCAATCTCCGCTGTGGAGCTTTGCAGCTCCTTCAGGGTTATCTTTGGTCTCTTTCTTGCCTCTCTGATTAATGCCCACTTTGCCTTTTTTAATAATGGATTTAAATTGTGCTCCGTGGGATGTTCAAAGTTTCAGATATTTTTTTATAACCCAACCCTGATCTGTACTTCTCCAGAACTTTGTCCCTGACCTGTTTGGAGAGCTCCTTGGTCTTCATGGTGCCGCTTGCTTGGTGTGCCCCTTGCTTAGTGGTGTTACAGACTCTGGGGACTTTCAGAACAGGTGTATATATACACTGAGATCATGTGACAGATCATGTGACACTTAAATGAAGTCCACCTGTGTGCAATCTAACTAATTATGTGACTTCTGAAGGTAATTGGTTGCACCAGATCTTATTTAGGGGCTTCATAGCAAAGGCAGTGAATACATATGCACGCAACACTTAAGATTTTTTTTAAACAAGTTACTTTTTAAATTTCACTTCACCAATTTGGACTATTTTGTGTATGTCCATTACATGAAATCCAAATAAAAATCCATTTAAAATTCCAGGTTGTTATGCAACAAAATAGGAAAAACGCCAAGGGGGTTGAATACTTTTGCAAGGCACTGTACATGTCAGACCTGTTCAGGTGGGAGTCTTCACCCATCCTCCGGGGCGCACCGAAGCAGCAGCCAAAGCCTATGACCAATGAGACCCACACCTACTGGCAAAACAATCAGTGAAAAACATGCAGTGCTTTGGACCATTGCTCTGGAACAAGCTGGACTTATCCATACTATAGCTAGCTAGCTAGCATGTCCGCCTTCAAAAAAGCTGTACACATATCTAGATAGCTGTAATGTGAGCGTGGTTTTGTATGCATAATACTGCGTATGATATGAATACTGCGTGATTTTAGCTGATTTGCAAGCCAACTTTAGCTAGCATTCGAGGGCTTACTGTTCATAAAAATGTATTGTGTAGTGCAGAAATAAATGAAAGATCCAACTATGTCGGTAATTCGTGTCAAGTCTGACTACTGCAGTACTGCTTGTCCATGTGCTAGCTAACAGCAACAAACTCAGATGAGCTAAACGTAAATGCATCCAGCAAAGATCAGCTTCTAATTAGCTAGCTAACGTTAGCTATATTATAGCTATAAAAGCCTTATGTTTTCTGTTAATGTTTTGAAATAACACAATATATTTATTTGATTGTGTATATGTTATATACATAATCTTAGCAAGCTCTTTTTTTAGCTATAATATTTACCTACCTAGCTTTGCAAACGTTAGCTTAGCTAGCATCAAGTGTAGGCGATAGAAAAATGGCCGTAAAAACAGCCCTAGCTTAGTTTAGAAGACATTTTACCGGAGACTTACTTTTGATGCACCTGTGGCAAATATTTTTATAACGAGCTCCTTGTTCCATCTTTGCCCGTAGTGTGCAGCAGCGAAAAACCGGAAACAGTAATTCCTAGAATGTCCCCCGCAATTTGAACACCCCTCTTGTGAGAGAAAGGCCTCACTCTCAGACAAGGCACAGTACAACTAGTCGTCACAATGAAATTCCATCAAAAAAGAAATTCCATCAAAAAACATAGAATATTTTAGCTGATGTTTGGCCTGTGTCAGTAACTCACGCTAGCCGCTGCAGGAAGAGGTGATAGAGGGCGTTGCGGCTGCACTGGCCTCGAGGCACAGCCATGAGCAGTGGGTGTCCGAACAGGGACGTCCCGCAGCTGCTGCTCCCTGAGCCATAGTCCCTGTAGTGGGAACGCTCCCTCAGGTACAGAGCCAGCACCACCTCATCCCCCTCCTCCTCCACAGAGCCTCTGCTCAGCTCATACCTGCCAGGGCAACACACAGACAGGGGTCAGGAGAGATGCTGGTGCTAACAAGCAAACAGGAAAAGTATGTTTTTGATGTGGAGGTAAAAGCTGGTTTTACATACACAAATATGTCATCCCGGTCCAGGATGCAGCTTAGAGACTCATCAGCATGGTAGATCTTATAGAAGCGGTGGTTGAACACATCAGCCACAACCATCTGATATAAGAGAGGCACAGGTCAGTATCACCTCAATATTTCATGTGATGAATGACGATAGCTTTTCAACAGCATGCTCTACCACAGAGGCTTTAAAACGTTGTCTCACTTGATTGACTGGGACGTTGGTCATTTCCGAGAGAGCGGAGCACAGGTCAAACACTTTGCCAGCTTTGGGTACAACCAAGCGATGCTGGTGGGAGAATACAAATAAATCAATACAGATGATTACCTATAAAAAGCATGATGTAGGGCCAACTATAGGAAGATTAATCTTGTACCTGAACAGGTTTGGCCACAGGGTCCAGAGAGACGAAGAAGACCTCCATCACCCGGTCCTTGCTAACAGGAAGGGGCACGCTGAGGTAGCAGAAGGGGTCAAAGGTGACCGACACTTTGCGGCACTCGGGGCAAACCAGGGTGGACTTGAACAACCCGTGGAAGGTGTCAACAATCACGGAGTTGTTACGTCGCCGGTGGTTATGCCACGCTTCCTCTGCCACTTCCTGAAAGTTGTCAAAGGGTGAGTGTGAGGAAAAATGCAATGCAAATGCACCTTAGGTTTACTACAGCTTGGAGAGCAATGGTATTTTTTTACAATTCTTCTCCCCGTCCTCTTTCAGTACAGGTTGTTACCTGGTCAGGCCTGCCATCGGCATCCCTCAGCTCAATGTACTCCTTGTTCTTTACCCGGTTGAGATCCTCATGAAGCCCGTCCAGCAGGAAGGAGAGCAGTTCCTGGGAGTCATGCTGCTGGTAGCCCAGAAACTGGGAGGCAAAGTGGCCAACCTTGGTCTGGTAATAAAAATAACACACATTGTTATCTCAAGGTACGCATCATCAATACTTAAGCATGACTGACTGACAAGCCTCTTTAATCCATTATAAAATAGTGGACAGAGTTTCACACTTCACACTGACAACTACCTTGAAGATCCGGGGAACTACAGAGTAGTGCCTCCCCGACCACATCTGTTTGATAACATCAGCGTAGGCCTCTGCTATCTCCCCCTTCATGCCCAGAGGGTTGGTGAAGTTGAGCTCCTCCAGATAGGCACTCCGCAGGAAATACTCAGTCAGTGGAGGGGTGTTACTGAGACACTGGACAAAGCAGTTGAGAGAAACATAGTCATGAATGACAGTCCATACTAGTCCAGGTCCCTGCATTTAGGTACAGCATGGACACATTATGTAGTAATGATGACTTACAGTGCTGTGAAAAAGTACTTTCCCCCTTTCTGATTCTCTATTTTTTGCATATTTTTGATACCTAAAGTTATCAGATCTTCAACCAAAACCTACTATTAGATAAAGAGAACCTGAGTTTAAAATTGTTATGCAACACCCCGAGTGAAAAAGTAATTGCCCCCTTACACTGAATAACTGTTTGTGCCACCTGCAATGACTGCAACCAAATGCTTCCTGTAGTTGTTGATCAGTCTCTCACATCGCTGTGGAGGGACCTCAAGTCCTGGCACAACATCTCAATTGGGATTAGGTCTGGACTTTGACTAGACCAAAACGTGTTGCTATTTAACCATTTTCATGTAGACTTGATTGTGTGTTTTGGATCATGGTCTTGCTGCATGACCCTGCTGCACTTCAGCTTCAGCTCACAGACGGATGGCCTAACATTCTCCTGTAGAATTCTCTGATACAGAGCAGAATTCATGGTTTCTTCTATTAAGGCAAGTCGTCCAGGTCCCGAGGCAGCAAAGAATCCCCAAACCATCACACTACCACCACCATGCTTGACTGTTGGTATGAGGTAATACTATGGAATACAGTATTTGGTTTTCAACAGACATAAATGGGACCCATTTCGTCCATAAAGTTGACTCAAGTTTGCCACAAAGCACCTGGATGATCATCAAGACTCTAGGAAGAATGTTCTATGGACAGATGAGTAAAAAGTATAACTTTTTGGACGACATGGGTCCCATTATGCTCTGTATCAGAGAATTCTACAGGAGAATGTCAGGCCATCCATCTGTGAGCTGAAGCTGAAGCACAGCTTGGTCATGCAGCAAGACAATGATCCAAAACACACAATCAAGTATACATGAAAATGGCTAAAAAGCAACACATTTGAAGTTTTGGAATGGCCTAGCCAAAGTCCAGACCTAATCCCAATTGAGACGTTGTGGCAGGATTTGAAACGAGCAGTTCATGCTTTAAAACCAACAAATGTCGCTGAGTTAAAGTACACTGAACAAAAATATAAACGCAACATGAAACAATTTCAACGATGTAACTGAATTACAGTTCATATAAGGAAAATCAGTCAATTTAAATAAATAAATTAGGCCCTAATCTATGGATTTCACATGACTGGGAATACAGATATGCATCTGTTGGTCACAGATACCTTTAAAAAAAGGTAGGAGCGTGGATCAGAAAAACAGTCAGTATCTGGTGTGACCAACATTTGCCTCATGCATCGCGACACATCTCCTTCACATAGAGTTGATCAGGCTGTTGATTGTGGCCTGTGGAATGTTGTTCCACTCCTCTTCAAATGGCTGTGCTAAATTACTGGATATTGGCGGGAACAGGAACATGATGTCGTACACGTCGATCCAGAGCATCCTGTTGGATTCTATCTTGAAATACACTTATTCATGTTCCCATACTATAACTTGTTGATTACTTTACATGTATAAGGAATGTTTATGTTGGGGTCAATGGAGGGTGGATAAGAACTAGGTGTATGGAAAGTTACAGAGTGAGGAAGGGGGAGTGCAGAAAGTTTACATTCTGTCAATACATGGTATTGTTAACTCTCATGGCTCCTATGTGCCGGGGGGCTAGGGTCAGTCTGTTATATCTGGTGTTATTCTCCTGTCTAATTCGGTGTCCTGTGTGAATTTAAGTATGCTCCCTCTAATTCTCTCTCTCTCCCTCTCCTCCTGGAGTACCTGAGCCCTAGGACCATGCCTTAGAACTACCTGGCCTGATGACTCCTTGCTGTCCCCAGTCCACCTGGTCATGCTCCTGCTCCAGCTTCCACTCTTCTGCCTGCGGCTATGGAACCCTGACCTGTTCACCGGACGTGCTACCTTGTCCAAGACTCTCTCTCTAATGCACCTGATGTTTCAACCTCTAAATGCCCGGCTATGAAAAGCCAAGTGACATTTACTCCTGATGTACTGACCTGTTGCAACCTCTACAACCACTGATTATTATTTGACCCTGCTGGTCATCTATGAACGTTTGAACATCTTGGAGAAAAATGTGGCCTTAATGGCCATATACTGTTATAATCTCCACCAGGCACAGCCAGAAGGGGACTGGCCACCCTCAGAGCCTGGTTCCGCTCTAGGTTTCTGCCTTTCTAGGTAGTTTTACCTAGCTACCGTGCTTCTACATCTGCATTGCTTGCGGTTTGGGGTTTTAGGCTGGGTTTCTGTATAGCACTTTGTGACATCTGCTGAGGTAAAAAGGGCTTTATAAATTAATTTGATTGATTGATTGATCCTAAGGAGGGAGGCAAAGGGCAACAGTCTGGTTTCAGTCACTGATAAAGTAGGACAGTCGTGGATTAGGGAGGGGCGAGGAATTCGGACCGAGGTCAGGTGAGATGAAGTGAGAAGGAACAGTCCTATTCCATACACATATATTTTCACACCCACAGAGGTTCTAGCAGGAGGCAGGGCCATGACTACACCAGTGAGAGGAACCAATTTAAGTTCCTGACTAGCAACAGAGACGTTTTGGCAGTCTAGATGTGCAAGAAGTTGACTCAGCCTAGTAGGAGGGTATAAATATACAGTGCATTCGGAAAGTGTTCAGACCCCTTCCCTTTTTCCACATTTTGTTACGTTATAGCATTATTCTAAAATTGATTAAATAAATGTTTTTCCTCAACAATCCACACAATAACCCACAATGACAAAGTGAAAACTGGTTTTTAGAAATGTTTATTTATTATTACAAATAAAAAACAGAAATACCTAAAGTATTCAGACATTTGCTATGACAATCGAAATTGAGCTCAGGTGCATCCTGTTTCCATTGATCATCCTTGAGATATTTCTACAAATTGATTGGAGTCCACCTGTGGTAAATTCAATTGATTGGACATGATTTGGAAAGGCACACACTGGTCTATATAAGGTCCCAGAGTTTATTTACTTATTTATTTGTTTGTATTTACCCCTTTCTCCCCAATTTCATGATATCCAATTGGTAGTTACATTCTTGTCTCATCGCTGCAACTCCCCTACGGACTCGGGAGAGGCGAAGGTCAAGAGCCATGCGTCCTCCGAAATACGACCCTGCCAAGCCGCACTGCTTCTTGACGCACTGCTCGCTTAACCCGGAAGCCAGCCGCACCAATGTGTCGGAGGAAACACAGTTAAACTGACGATCGAAGTCAGCTTGCATGCACCCGGCCCGCCACAAGGAGTCACTAGAGCACGATGGGACAAAGAAACCCCGGCCGGCCAAAACCTCCAATAACCCGGACGACGCTACGCCAATTATGCACCTTAACGGGTCTCCCGGTCAAGGCCGGCTGTGACACAGCCTGGGATCGAACCCGGGGCAAACTATGTCAGCTTAGATGGGGAGCGTTGCTGCACAGCTATTTTGAGGTCTCTCCAGAGATGTTTGATCGGATTCAAGTCCGGACTATGGCTGGGCCACTCAAGGACATTCAGAGAATTGTCCCGAAGCCACTCGTGTTGTCTTGGATGTGTGCTTACGGTGCGATACAGTGCCTTAGACCACTGCGCCACTCGGGAGGCGATAAGGTCCCAGAGTTGACAGTGCATGCCAGAGCAAAGACCAAGCCATGAGGTCGAAGAAATTGTCTGTAGAGCTCCAAGACAGGATTGTGTCGAGGAACATATATGGGGAAGGATACCAAAAAATGTCTGTAGCATTGAAAGTCCTCAAGAACACAGTAGCCTCCATAATTCTTAAAAGGAAGAAGTCTGGAACCACTAAGACTCTTCCTTGAGCTTGCCGCCCAGCCAAACTGAGCAATCAGGGGAGAAGGGCCTTGGTCAGGGAGGTGACCAAGAACACGATGGTCACTCTTACAGAGCTCCAGAGTTCCTCTGGGGAGATGGGAGAACCTTCCTGAAGGACAACCATCTCTGCAGCACTCCACCAATCAGGGATTTATGATATGGCCAGACGGAAGCCACTTCTCAGTAAAAGGCACATGACAGCCCGCTTGGAGTTTGCCAAAGGGCAACTGAAGGACTCTCAGACCATGAGAAACTAGACTCTCTGGTCTGATGAAACCAAGATTGAACAAGATCTTGCCTGAATGCAAAGCGTCACGTCTGGAGGATACCTGGCACCATCCCTATGGTGAAGCATGGTGGTGGCAGCATCATGCTGTGGGGATATTTTTCAGCGGCAGGGAATGGGAGACCAGTCAGGATCGAGGGAAAGATGAAGCGAGCAAAGTACAGAGAGATCCTTGACGAAAACCTGCTCCAGAACGCTCAGGACCTCAGACTGGGGCGAAGGTTCACCTTCCAACAGAACAACAACCCTAAGCACACAGCCAAGACAACACAAGAGTGGCTTCGGGACAAGTCTCTGAATGTCCTTGAGTGGCCCAGCCATTGCCCGGACTTGAACCCGATCGAAAATCTCTACAGAGACCTCAAAATAGCTGTGCAGCAACGCTCCCGATCTAACCTGACATACAGTTGAAGTCAGAAGTTTACATACACCTTAGCCAAATACATTTAAACTCAGTTTTTCACAATTCCTGACATTTAATCCCAGTAAAGATTCCCTGTTTTAGGTCAGTTAGGATCACCACTTTATTATAAGAATGTGAAATGTCAGAATAATAGTAGAGAGAATGATTTATTTCTTTCATCACATTCCCAGTGGGTCAGAAGTCTACATACACTCAATAAGTATTTGGTAGCATTGCCTTTAAATTCTTTAACTTGGGTCAAACGTTTCAGGTAGCCTTCCACAAGCTTCCTACAATAAGTTGGGTGAATTTTTGCCCATTCCTCCTGACAGAGCTAGTGTTACTGAGTCAGGTTTGTAGGCCTCCTTCCTCGCACACACTTTTTCAGTTCTGCCCACAAATATTCTATAGGATTGAGGTCAGGGCTTTGTGATGGCCACTGTAATACCTTGCCTTTGTTGTCCTTAAGCCATTTTGCCACAACTTTGGAAGTATGCTTGGGGTCATTGTCCATTTGGAAGACCCATTTGCGACCAAGCTTTAACTTCCTGACTGATGTCTTGAGATGTTGCTTCAATATATCCACATAATTTTCCATCCTCATGATGCCATCTATTTTGTGAAGTGCACCAGTCCCTCCTGCAGCAAAGCACCCCCACAGCATGATGCTGCCACCCCGTGCTTCACGGTTGGGATGGTGTTCGTCGGCTTGCAAGTACCTCCTTTCTCCTCCAAACATAACGATGGTCATTATGGCCAAACAGTTCTATTTTTGTTTCATCAGCCAGAGGACATTTCTCCAAAAAGTACGATCTTTGTCCTAATGTGCAGTTGCAAACCGTAGTCTGGCTTTTTTAATGGCGGTTTTGGAGCAGTGACTTCTTCCTTGCTGAGCGGCCTTTCAGGTTATGTCGATAAAGGACTAGTTTTACTGTGGCTATAGATACTTTTGTACCTGTTTCCTCCAGCATCTTCACAAGGTCCTTTGCTGTTGGTCTGGGATTGATTTGCACTTTTCGCACCAAAGTACGTTCATCTCAAGGAGACAGAACGCGTCTCCTTCCTGAGCGGTATGACGGCTGCGTGGTCCCATGGTGTTTACACTTGCATACTATTGTTTGTACAGATGAACGTGGTACCTTCAGGCGTCTGGAAATTGCTCCCAAGGATGAACCAGACTTGTGGAGGTCTACACATTTTTTTTCTGAGGTCTTGGCTGATTTCTTTTGATTTTCCCATGATGTCAAGGAAAGAGGCACAGAGTTTGAAGGTAGGCATTGAAATACATCTACAGGTACACCTCCAATAGACTCAAATGATGTCAATTAGCCTATCAGAAGCTTTAATGCCATGACATCATTTTCTGGAATTTTCCAAGCTGTTTAAAGGCACAGTCAATTTAGTGCACGTAAACTTCTGACCCATTGGAATTGTGATACAGTGAATTATAAGTGAAATAATCTGTCTGTAAACAATTGTTGGAAAAATAACATGTGTCATTCTCAAAGTAGATGTCCTAAACAACTTGCCAAAACTATAGTTAGTTAACAAGACATTTGTGGAGTGGTTGAAAAACAAGTTTTAATGACTCCAACCTAAGTGTATGTAAACTTCAGACTTCAACTGTAGTTTGAGAGGATCTGCAGACAAGAATGGGAGAAACTCCCCAAATACAGGTGTGCCAAGCTTGTAACGTCATACCCAAGAAGAATTGAGGCTGTTATCACCGCCAAAGGTGCTTCAACAAAGTACTGAGTAAAGGGTCTGAATACTTATGTAAATGTCATTTTTCAGTTTTTGGTTTGTCATTATGGGGTATTGTGTGTAGATTGCTGAGGATTATTATATATATATTTTTTTTAATCAATTTTAGAATAAGGCTGTAACGTAACAATATGTGGAAATAGTTAAGTGTTCTGAATACTTTCCGAACGCACTGTATGTGCTTGTGTCTTTATCTTTGCAGCTGTTTGACACAGTGGGGGAATAAACTTGGTTTGAGTTTTTCCTAGTCATTGAGTTTTTCCTCTGTTTGTTTAGAACCTAACAATCCCAAACATGCTCAATTGGTGACATGTCTGGTGAGTATGCAGGCCATGGAAGAACTGGAACTGTGTACTGATCCTTGCGACATGGGGCCGTGCATTCTCATGCTGAAACATGAGGGGATGGCGGCGGATGAATGGCATGACAATGGGCCTCAGGATCTCATCATGGTATCTCTGTGCATTCAAATTGCCATCGATAAAATTAAGTTGTGTTCATTGATCGTAGCTTATGCCTGCACTCTGTTCACAACATTGACATCAGCAAACCGCTCGCCCACACAACGCCATACACGTGGTTTGCGATTGTGTCAAATTCTCTAAAACGACGGAGGCGGCTAATTGTAGAGAAATTAACATGAAATTGTCTGGCAACAGCTCTGGTGGACATTCCTGCAGTCAGCATGCCAATTGCACGCTCCCCCAAAACTTGAGACATCTGTGGCTTTGTGTTGTGTGACAAAACTGCAGATTTTAGAGTGGCCTTTTATTGTCCCCAGCACAAGGTGTTCCTATGTAATGATCATGCTGTTTAATCAGCTTCTTGATATGCCACACCTATCAAGTGGATGGATTATCTTGGCAAAGTAGATATGCTCACTAACAGGGATGCAAACAAATGTGTGCACAAATTGAGAGAAATAAGCTTTTTGTGCATATGTAACATTTATGTGATCTTGTATTTAAGCTCATGAAACATGTGACCAACACTTTACATGTTGCGTTTATATTTTTTCTGCATGGAAGAGTGGGACAAAACTACAGGAACCGTTTGGTTGGTGTCATTGCAGCTAAAGGTAGCACAACCAATTATTGTTGTTACTTTTTCACACAGCGGCATTGGGTGTTGCATAACTTTGTTTATGAAATAAATCTAATAAGTATGTAATTGTTGTGTTATTTGTTCACTCAGGTTCCCTTTATCTAATATTAGGTTTTGGTTGAAGATCTGATAACATTCAGTATCAGAAATATGCAAAAGTAGAGAAAATTAGAAAGGGGGCAAATACTTTTTCACAACACTGTACCTGCAGTGCCGAGTTCATGAAACATGTGTTTCCTAGGTTGGTGAGGCCACAGACTCCTGGCTGGCCCCGGTAAAAGTCCTGTTCCTCCACAGAGTTCCTACTACAAGACATGGAAGGAGAAATATAAAATCACCTACCGAACAGTACAATAACACAAAAGGTACTGTACAGTACTCTCCTTAGTACAGATACACTTTTTTTGTCACACATATGGGAATCACTTTTACCACAAAACATTACACTACATTAGCAACACTAATTGTGGTGGACAGTACATTCTCTACACACTGATAATATATTTAAAAATAAATACAAAATAAATAAAAGGAACCCTCACATGATCTGCGGTCTGGAGCTGGGCCAGGTACCATCTGCATTCCTCATCTCCATGATCATTGTCTGCAATGCAGACAGGACAGGTTACAACACAGCTGCCATTTAAACACACTATCACTGTATCGCAGGAAGCAACAGAGGGATGCAAGCAGGTAGATGTGGAGTAGGGTGGGATGAGGGTCAGAGAGAGGGGAGCAGACATAACAGACATACCATGCCAGAGCTGAGGCAGGAGTCGAGGACACTGACGTGAACGTTCCGCAGCCTCTCACAGCAGGTGTCTGAGCTCTTCATCCACAGCCGGGTCTCTGTTCCCTCGACCACCTCAAACTGCTTCATCATCACCTTCTGAATCGTATCTGAAGAGGAAAACAATTAACAAACGCACATAAACTCAGCAAAAAAAGAAACGTCCTCTCACTGTCAACTGCGTTTATTTTCAGCAAACATGTGTAAATATTTGTATGAACATAAGATTCAACAACAGACATACACTGAACAAGTTCCACAGACATGTGACTAACAGAAATTGAATAATGTGTCCCTGAACAAAGGGGGGGGGGCAAAATCAAAAGTAACAGCTGCATTAAGTACTGCAGTACGTCTCCTCATGGACTGCACCAGATTTGCCAGTTCTTGATGTGAAATGTTACCCCACTCTTCCATCAAGGCACCTGTAAGTTCCCGGACATTTCTGGGGGGAATGGCCCTAGCCCTAACCCTCCGATCCAACAGGTCCCAGACGTGCTCAATGGAATTGAGATCCGGGCTCGTCGCTGGACATGGCAGAACACTGACATTCCTGTCTTGCAGGAAATCACGCACAGAACGAGCAGTATGGCTGGTGGCATTGTCATGCTGGAGGGTCATGTCAGGATGAGCCTGCAGGAAGGGTACCACATGAGGGAGGAGGATGTCTTCCCTGTAACGTACAGCGTTGAGATTGCCTGCAATGACAACAAGCTCAGTCCGATGATGCTGTGACACACCGCCCCAGACCATGACGGACCATCCACCTCCAAATCGATCCCGCTCCAGAGTACAGGCTCATTCCTTCGATGATAAACGCGAATCCGACCATCACCCCTGGTGAGACAAAACCACGACTCGTCAGTGAAGAGCACTTTTTGCCAGTCCTGTCTGGTCCAGCGACGTTAGGTTTGTGCCCATAGGTGACGTTGTTGCCGGTGATGTCTGGTGAGGACCTGCCTTACAACAGGCCTACCAGCCCTCAGTCCAGCCTCTCTCAGCCTATTGCGGACAGTCTGAGCACTAATGGAGGGATTGTGCGTTCCTGGTGTAACTCGGGCGGTTGTTGTTGCCATCCTGTACCTGTTTTCATAACTGTGACCTTAATTGCCTACCGTCTGTAAGCTGTTCGTGTCTTAACGACCGTTCCACAGGTGCATGTTCATTAATTGTTTATGGTTCATTGAACAAGCACGGGAAACAGTGTTTAAACCCTTTACAATGAAGATCTGTGACGTTATTGGATTTTTAAAAATTATCTTTGAAAGACAGGGTCCTGAAAAAGGGACGTTTCTTTTTTTGCTGAGTTTATATAGAGATGCATAGCTTGCACACCGACCTATCAAAGCTACTAATGCACCTTTTGGATGTGTTTCTACTTACGGATGTGATCTGCACGGCTAAACTGTGCCGTCACAACATTTTCCATGTTGCTATGGAGACACAGGAAGATTTCCACAGGATAGACCTCAACCTTGACTGTGCTGGGTAGATCCACCACCTGAAATAGACCAAGCAATCACAGACAATGAATTGCCAAATACAAATGAAACACTTCAATGGCAGTTGTGTCTTTTCATAGACACAACATTGTCCTTTGAATGACGGTCTGTAGGACATAAAACTACCGTAGTCAGGTCCACGATCACATAGTAGTTTGTAGACAGATGTGGATGTACAGTCAGTTCCTTGATAGACGGGTGGGTTATTTTGAAACCAATAGGATGTGTGACCAACTTCGGGGGCAAAACAACTGTCAACTCCAATGGATTTTTGACAACAAATAGATTTTCACAATAAGCACTTGTCTCAAATACATTGTTACAGTTGTTGGTTAGCTAGCTAAATAATTTTTGCCCTATTAGCATAGACATGAACTAAGTCAAAACACCTGAAAACAAGACATGGTATTAAGAACAAGATACAACTAGCTGAAACAAGCCACCTAGAATTCCCCAAATGGAAGCTTCTGGTCATTGTTTCTTGCTATCTGACTGTTCAGAATCATAACAACGCATAGCCTTCTGCCCCATCGATGCGCGTGCATAATTTTCATGAAATTGTCAGTAGTGATGGGGGAAGAAATCTAAAAAGTTACATATCGCAACATTCTTTTTGCGCTAGTTGGCTGGACCTGCACAAACACTCCAGGATATTTTATTTATATCTTGTTCTCCATCTTTTTAAATAGGGAGCCAATTTGTTTTCATCGCTTTTATTTCAATCACTGATCAAAACTGACATATGGTGAGCAATATGTTTGGACCATGGAATCACAATAAAATCATAGTATTGAATCGCAAAACATATATAACCGCGAGAATCAAAATATATATCGTATCTGCACCTAAGTATTGTGATAATATCATACATAAGGTCCCTGGCAATACCCAGCGCTAGTTATCAGGCAGCCAGTCTATGTAACATGACCACAGGGTATGCAGGTTTTCTCTGCATCTCTGTGACCACTGTTTTACCTTCCGCTCCAGGGCAGGCTGATCATCGACCATGCCATACCAGGCCAGCAGATTGTGCCATGCGTCGGCAGGGATCAACACAAAGTCCTCATTCTCCACCAGACGCTCCTTCAGATGGTAGGAATCCAGTTCTGTGGGTTTCATAATCATCATTAGACAGCTTAGCCTTTTCATGTTGACACAACAACAGCATATTTGGGGTAGAAGTAAATGAACCAAACATAGAATAATGGGTCTTCTGTTGTTACAGGATATCCTTGTGATGTGACACTTACCCTCAAACAGCTCTGTGTTGTCGATCTGTCCAGGGAAAGAAGAGGAGTTCTGGTCTCCTGTCTCCACATACTCCTTCCACTGCTCATACCATCGCCTCTCCACCAGGTACCTGCATGTGTTAGTTATAAGAACAACTCAATTGGGGAGGCTTATATTTTGCCTGCCTACATTAACCAACATCACATTCCCCTAAGCTAGTTTTTCATCACTAACGTTCTATCTGATTGGGGTGTATTAGGTGTATTTACTGATACAATACTATAATGCCAGGTCGCAGTTGTAAATGAGAACTTGTTCTGAACTGGCTTACCTGGTTAAATAAAGGTTAAATAAAAAATAAAATAAAAATGGCATAACCACAATTGCAGCAATGGATATTTTATTTGGGCAGCTCGGCTTTGGCAAATTATAGCCAATTGTCTGGTTTCCTTTTTAATTGAGTTTGTTAGGACAAAACAGTACTTAAATGGCGTTTCATTCATTCACACTTCAATAAATATCCTGAACTTTATAACCACAATTTTTGCAACTATAATTTCCTAATCTGGGTGTGATACTGATAAAACGAAACTTTGCTGGTAAAACCGAAAGCAGCAGCCAGCTAGCTAATTGGGTTTATCGAGCTAACACTAGCTAGCTATGCAGTTAGCTAGCTAATTTAGATGGCGCTCACTAATAGGACAACACACAATAAATGCAAACTTTGGAAAACAAACAGAACACCAAAAATCTTAAACTAAACCGAAAAGATTGCAAGTTACTAGCTAGCTGTTCCTGTCCTGTAGCTAGCTAGCAGTTAACAGCTAGTTAACACAGGCGGGCTAGCCTGCTGTCAGTGTAGCTAGTTAGTTAACGTTTTCTTGGTTGTTAAAGCCAAAACTTTGACATGATCTTTCCCAACTGGGACATGATGTTAATCGTCATATTAATATCAAAATGTAAGCTTTTCCACAGCATGCTCTCCCTAAAATACTAACGCAGTGATCAAACATCATTCGCCAAACACCAGCGCTGAGATCCTAGGCAAGAGGATTCAACACTCTAACCAATGTTTATTCATTGAATTTGCCAAGAAAAAATTGCCCTTATCTAAAGATAATGGTAGATTATGCTGATTATGATATCTGTCATGTAAGCAACAGCAAATACAGTCATGGACTCATCGCTATCATTTGTTGTTGTCGTGGTAGCTATCTACAGTAGCTACATCACTCAGTGTGGGTGTCAGTTCAGAGCAGAGGGCGGTAAGAGTCTCACCAAGTATCCCCTGCACGGAGTTCATGTTCCTGAAGCAGAGACTCGATTTCTTTGCGTTGAATCTCTAATCCAGGAGGTTCTGTAACCGTGGCTGAAGTAGTAGCAGCCATGACAACTCATAAATATCAGGATTCTGCAAGGAAAACACTGAAGTCAACTACCGCATAGATTCTGTGATAGGGTAACCGTACCGCACAGCAGTTTCCACAAGCTAGTTACTATAGCCACAAAGTAAAAATTGGCAATATCGTAACAATTTAGTACAAAAAAACCTTGCTTATTGGTCTTAATGTAGGTTAGGGTCAGGCATAAGGTAAGCAGTGTGGTTAAGGGATTTTATGAAGATAAATTGTAGAAATAGGAGGGGTTTATTACTTTGTGGCTGTGGTAACTAGGAATAACCCTGTGAAGCAGGCAAGAATATATAAGTACTTCCGGGTCAATGATTTTTGGAATCAGAGTGGAAAATGCGAAGCGGAGAGGGTGGCTAGAAGGGATCCAGCTTTTGTCAAATTAATATCGAATATAGCTTTTCGTATCAGGCATTAGTGGTGCGTTAGTAAAATCACTGGGGGAAAAAGCCATATTACAACCTATGTGTTGTGATAATTGCGTTGTTTGCTCAATAATCGGTTAGTTCATATGCCTTGCCAACGGGATATATAGTGCATTCGGAAAGTATTCAGACCCATTGACTTTTTACACATTTAGTTATGTTACAGCCTTATTCTAAAATGGATTAAATGAACATTTTTCCTCATCAATCTACACACAATACCAAATAATGACAAAGCGAAAATAGTTTTTTAGGAATGTTTGCAAATGTATTAAAAATAAAAACAGAAATACCTTATTTATCAGACCCTTTGCTATGAGACACGAAATTGAGCTAAGGTGCATCCTGTTTCCATTGATCATCCTTGAGATGTTTCTACAACTTGATTGGAGTCCACCTGTAGTCAATTCAATTGATTGGACATGATTTGGAAAGGTACACACATGTCTATAAGGTCCCACAGTTGACAGAGCATGTCAAAGCAAAAACCAAGCCATGAGGTCGAGGGAATTATCTGTAGAGCGCTGAGACAGGATTGTGTCAAGGCACAGATCTGGGGAATGTAATATTCATATGTGTCACCATACTGAATTGTAATTGGATGCATCATACTGTGCAATGATTGGTTAAGACCACCCAGGTGGTGAGGTCATTCTAAGATGATCATGGCCAGAGACACATGGACATGCACGTTATAGCTAGTTAATAAAGAGCTACGTTTATAAATATCCTGTCGTCCTGCATTTTATTATTTTGTACAAAGCGTACAAAACAAGACATGGTGTCAGAGTAAAAGGACTAAAAGATGGATTTTGCTGGAGTTCCTTCACCTCGAATGGATTGGGGGTCTACAAATCTACCCGATGCATGGCGTAAGTTCAAACAGCATGTGGAGCTGATGTTCACGGGTCCTCTGAAGGAAAGAGGAGAAGAGGAAAAGTGCAGCTACCTGCTCCTCTGGATCGGTGAAAAAGGGAGAGACATTTACAACACATGGACACTTACCGAGGCTGAATCAAAGGTACTGAAAACATACTACGATCGTTTTGAAGCATATGTTTTGCCAAAGACCAATACAATTTTCGCTAGGTACAAATTCCATGAGAAAGTACAAGGCGCTAGTGAATCGTTTGAACAGTTTGTCACTGAGCTGCGTCTGCTTGTGAAAGACTGTGATTATGCAAACAAGGATGAGATGGTCAGGGACCGTATTGTATTTGGAATACAATCACCGCGAGTGAGAGAGAAACTTTTGAATGTTGGATCAGAGTTAACGCTGGACAAAGCTATCGACATAGCCAGATCTCACGAGCTAGCACAGGTTCAGATGAAAACCATTTCAGGCGGCAGCATGAGCGCATCACGTGAACAAGCAGTGCACGCAGTCAGGCAGACATCAAAGCACACCTCCAGTGCCCAGAGAGCATGTTTCAGAACGGAGACAGACAGAACTCCAAAACAGAGCGACACAGACTCCAAACGCCCCAAAACATGTGGATATTGTGGATACAAAGTGCATGGCGAACAGGGGAATTGCCCAGCTAAAGGCAAACAGTGTACTAAATGTGGAAAATGGAATCACTTTGCAAAAGTGTGCAGAGTTTACCGTGGAAAAACAGTACATACAGTGAGTGAAGATGAAATGTCAATCAAAGAGTCAAATGCTGATGAACTGTTTATTGATTCAGTGACACAGAAAAGTCAGCTATCAGAGACAGAGCAAGCCTTTGCTGACATTGAGATAGGAAGACAAGGCACAGAGCTAAAATTCAAACTAGACACTGGTGCACAAGTAAACATTATTCCTCTGAGTAAGTACAGAAGCTTGACATCTGAGTGTGAGCTACAGCCCACCACGCGCAGACTGACTGGTTATGGTGGTGAACAGCTCCCAGTAAAAGGCACATGCACTCTCAAATGCAAATACAAGGAAAGGGACATGATGTTGGACTTTTACGTTGTTGACACTCGAGCACCTGCAGTGCTAGGTCTTAAAGCATGTTTAGACATGGACCTTATCAAGCTAGTTTTATCAGTGACAGCACCAGTAGAGATAGAGAATGTCATGGAGGAGTTTGCTGATGTTTTTACAGGAATAGGACTATTCCCAGGAGAATGTACCATTCACCTTAACCCAGACGCAACCCCTGTGATCTACCCACCGAGAAAGATTCCACTTGCTCTCCGCGCCCGTCTGAAGAAAGAGTTGGAGAGCATGGAGCAATCTGACATCGTCACCAAGGTTACAGAACCGACGGATTGGGTCAACGCGTTAGTGGTGGTGGAGAAACCACGGACAGGCAAGCTCAGAGTATGTCTCGACCCAAGAGACTTGAACAAGGCTATCAAACGCCCCCATTACCCCTTACCGACGCTAGATGGCATCACACACAAGCTAGCGGGCGCACGCTACTTCAGTGTCATGGACGCCAGATCAGGCTACTGGGCTATCAAGCTCACAGAAGAGTCATCTAAGCTCACAACGTTCAACACACCGTTTGGACGCTACAGGTTCCGTCGCCTGCCTTTTGGGATTATCTCAGCCCAAGACGAGTTTCAGCGAAAGATCGACGAGGTGTACGAAGGCCTCGACGGAGTCGTGGCAATTGTGGACGACATCCTTGTCTATGGTCGAACCAAAGAGGAACACGACAGAAACCTCAGCGCGATGCTGCAAAGGTCCCGCGAGAGAGGAGTCCGGCTCAACCCCGAGAAGAGCACAGTCGGCGCTACAGAGGTCAGCTACTTCGGGCATCTTCTCACAGCGAATGGAATCAAGCCAGATCCGCAGAAGATCTCAGCCATAAAGGAAATGGAGCCACCAAAGAACCGCGCAGAGCTGGAAACAGTGCTTGGCATGGTCAACTACTTAGCCAAGTTCGCACCCAGCCTCTCCAATGCTAATGCACCCCTGCGTCAGCTGCTAAAGCAGTCCAGTGAGTTCCTCTGGGACAACCAACACGACATCGCTTTCCAGAAAGTGAAAGACTTGATCACGAGAGAACCAGGACCAATCCTTGCCTACTACGACCCCAACAAAGAGCTCAGACTCCAGGTGGACGCGTCAAAGTATGGACTAGGGGCAGTGCTACTGCAAGAAGGAAAACCCATCGGCTACGCTTCCAAATCTCTCACAGACTGTGAAATCAACTACGCTCAAATCGAAAAGGAGCTGTACGCCATTCTGTTCGGATGTAAGCGTTTCCATCAGTATGTCTATGGACGACAAGTCATTGTGGAATCAGACCACAAGCCCCTCGAGTCAATCATGAGGAAACCGTTAGCCGCAGCCCCGCCAAGGCTACAGAGAATGATCCTTCAACTACAAAAATACGACTTCACAATCACTCACCGTCCAGGCAAAGACATCCCTGTCGCAGACACACTCTCCAGGAAGTGTCTTACCTACAAGGACAGCAGCCTCAGTGAAGGCATGGACATGCAGGTGCACACTGTGTACAGCAACTTACCAGTTAGTGACACAAAACTGAAGGAGATCCGAGCAGAAACAGAAAAAGACACACAACTCACACAGCTGAGGAAAGTCATACAGTCAGGATGGCCTGAGGAGAGGAGAAAATGCCCTCAGAGCGTCTCAGAGTTCTGGAACCATCGTGACGAACTATCACAGATCAACGGAATCATTTTCAAAGGAGAGAAAATCATCATTCCTACCAGTCTCAGAGAAGAGATTTTGACAAAGATCCATGCTGGACACATGGGCATGGAAAAGTGCAAACAGAGAGCACGGGACATTTTGTTTTGGCCCGGAATGTGCAAACAAATAGAGGACATGGTTGGTAAATGCCCCACCTGTCTTGAACGACGCCCCTCGAACACCAAAGAGCCAATGTTACCTCACCGTATCCCAGACCGACCCTGGCAGGTCGTGGCAACCGATCTGTTCACGTGGAACAACGAGGACTACATTATAACAGTGGACTACTACAGCAGATACTTCGAACTCGACAAGCTTCACAGCACCACATCTGCAGCTGTGATACACAAGCTGAAAGCAGCCTTTGCCAGGCATGGCATTGTAGAGACTTTAATATCTGACAATGGGCCCTGTTACAAATCAAATGAGTTTGAATCCTTCACAAAAGCATGGGAGTTCACACACGTCACCACAAGCCCACATTACCCTCAAAGTAATGGCCTTGCTGAAAAATCTGTGCAGATCGCTAAATCACTCATGGACAAAGCAAAAGCAGACAAGAGAGACCCCTACCTCAGTCTCCTTGAATACCGCAACACTCCAGTTGACAACTTCAAATCACCAGCCCAGCTGTTGATGAGCCGCAGACTTCGCTCAATCCTCCCCAGCACCAACCAGCAGCTGCAACCTGAGGTCGTCAGCTACAAGGAAGTGCATGCAAAACGTGCACAGAGACAGCAACAGCAAAAGCGATACTACGACAGGTCAGCCAGACCACTGCCACCACTGAACGACGGAGAGTCAGTTAGAATCCAGGAGCATGGCTACTGGAAGCCAGCAGTCGTCATCCAACCAGCTGACACTGAACGTTCATATCACGTTCGCACCGCAGAAGG